CTAATGCAAAAATACAGGTTCAGGCATTAGAACAGGCAGCCCAGGGAAGTGGTGGAATTGCCTCCATTCCTGGAAGTGTTCAAAAGGGCTGTAAATGGCCTGTAAATGTGGGGATAAAGTTTGGTGCTGAACATCGTGGTTAATGGTTGGACTCAATGATCTTAGAGGTCTTTTCCAGCATAAATGATTCTATGAATTTAGAATCATATTTCTTTAATATTTTTTCTTTAATATGAAAGCTGCTGAAGCTATTAGAAAATTTTGAATGCTGAGAAAAATGTTTACGTGATTATCTCACACAAGTGAATAACATTGCTGATAAATTCTGATTTCTTATGGTTAACCTTTCTGAATGTGTCTTTATTTAACTCATATTTAGCTATGTGAATGAATGTGTGCATTAATCTGTTTGTGTCTTCTGCATATGGTAGGGTGATAGATTTACAGATACATTGTCAAAGCATAGGTTTCATGAGTTTGGCTTTGCAACTCACTTTGCACTTATTGGGAAGAATATAATTCAGTCATCAATGGTGTAGAAATAGCTCTTTATGCTACAGGAGCCATATCTAATTTTTGAAATAGTGTAGAAGGTGAGAGAAGAGACTTTGAAGTTATTAAAGAGACTAAGGAATGGATTTTCAATAAATCTTTTTATCCACTGAATGAGTACTTACTTTATTAACTCAACAAAATTAAATAATCCAGAAACTGATGATAATATTCACATTCGTCTTTTGGTCAAGAAAACAAGGATGTGAATTTACATCAAAATGCAAATTTAAATCAGGAAACTGCATTTCAGGTAGACACAAGCCTATCTTCCCAAGCACTGAAATAGTACTCTTTTTTTGCATATTTTTTTCCAATATTTCCAGTAATTTGCAACATATTCTTTCATTTTGCATGCATAATTTATTTTGCTTAATTGCCACATTAACAGTATTGCATCTTAATTATTAATTGCAGTGTTTATCTAGCAGTCATTTTGAAGGAACATTTTTACAGCTAATAGATAACTTGTAACATCCCTGATACATAATATAGTAAGACAGCAAACAGTGACAGTCAAATTTAGAGTGCTGTTGCTGCTATAATTATGTTAATTTTATTTTGATAAGCAAACTATATTTTAGAATTTTTCTTTCACTGTTATTGAGTGCAGGAGAAAAAAACTAGAGATAATAAGCCCTGTAATAGAAAACAAGTAATTGTTTCCTTTACTATCACAGCGTATTAGTATTTTTCATTCAATGGTCTTACAATCAGTGCATTAGGAATTGTACATTATCTGTCTGAAGTGGCTTTTTAGGAGTGGGTTAGCTCTGTTTCCTGCATGGTATGCTCAGTCCAAGAGAGACAAGTATAATGTAGAAAATGCTTAAGAATTTCTTTGTACATGGTTAGCACATATAAAATTTGTTAGTCTATAATCCTTGCTTGAGATGTATTGAAGTCACAAGCAACACACATGAAGATCACAGATGTATTATACATTATTTGTGATATCAGCCTGTTTATTGTTGTATCTAAATGTCTTACCTTGATAATATCCAAAGTACTACCTACTGTTTGAGGTTTTTTAATTCTGTTTTCCACTCACCTTGACCAGGGAAAACTAGATTGAAAGAACAGCCATCACTCCCTTTTGTGTGCCTTTCCTTACATTTGTGGCATATACATTACATAGAAATGAAAGGATGCCCAACACGGTCCTTTATCCTTGTGGTATGTTTCAGGGTCTTTAAATGCACAGAAGAAAGATCATGTTGCCTATGCAGTTGAGCTTTTCCCATTTTGAGGACATTTCACCAGTACTTGAGAAGCACTGTGCTTGTTGCCTGTTAGGGCTTTGAGTGATTTTATTACCATGCATGACCTGAAGCGTGTTATTACTGTGATGATCGGGAGAGGTAAATGTTGAATGTCTCATTGTATTGTTTGGGGGAATAAAATATGCTTTATAGAGGTCTTTGCTGCTGAGAAAATTGTTTGCTGTTCTTTGCAGTAGTTAGAAGTTCCTAAAGCTGGCAGCCCTGTGTCATCTTTGACATAAGATAGCACCCTAATGCAGTAGCTGTAGTGGGATGAATCTCTTCTGGCTTTAGACATCTACCCTCTTGACTTCTGTATCAGAACTAATTATCATAAGCTCCCTGGAGGGAAGTGGCCCTCAATAAATTTTGTAGACTACTTACTGAGTGATAAAAGTTCATTTTCTCATTTACCTGCAATATCTAGTTCATGTTTCCCAGTCTACACTCTAACCATTTTTGCATTTTCCTCTGGGGTCGATTAGGGAACAACCTTCTTTATACATATGAAGTCTTGAAAATTAGTTAATGAACGAATGAGAGCTGATATCCGCGTGGGTTTAAAAAAAAGCATGGTTTCTGCAGGTAGTGAGTGACTTGGGTGGAGCCACCCTAATGAGCTGGCATTTCCTGGTCATACATCACTCCTTGCACAGCCAGGCAGTTTCAGTGCAGTTCTTATGAAAGCTTGCTGCTCCTGTTTTTTGAGGGAGTTGGAAAAAGTGTGATGGTGACCAAGCATGGTTCATATTAATTCCTTCTTTCATTGTCTTCAGAGCAGGTGCAGCTGGCAGAGCCCAAATGTACAAAACGCAGATATATACATTAATAGACATAGAGTTTTGAGGGTTTTTTTAAATTTAAAATTAAGATGATATAAGAAGTAAGCAGGGTTAATAGAGAAAGTGCTAGTGAAATTTGTACTTTAGAGAATGTGTTTTGGAAGTCCTTTTTTCATTCAAGACACAGTAAGTTTTGGATATTTGATGGTTGTTGTATTTCTGCATGTAATTTTTAAAGTTGTTCCTTGACACAGCAAATGTTATTTTAAAATAAAATTCCAGGTTATTAATGCTTGTATTGTTACATATTTTTTATTTAGCTAATTAATTACTCCATTCATTAGATGTTAACATATATTTTATCTCAAACCAAAGGAAAAATAAAGCAAGCCTAAAACTTTTTTTTTTTCCCAGCTGTACTGCTTCTCTTATATTTCAGTGCTGGCCAGCTCACTTCTTTCAATGCCATGCAGTGCCACCCCTTTTCTTTATTTCATTTTTTAGCATTATTTTGCGCATATACTGTGCATTTACATATAATGAACTTTTTGTGTGCTGTTCTTGTGTCCACAAGTTTTATAATACCAAATTTCTTGACATTGCTGTGCAAACCATTCTAGAAGGCGGCACGTTTTGAATGTTAATAGAAACAAGCTTTAATTAAACAAAACAGAGCTGGTAGAGGATATTTGTTCTAATGCATCAGTGTTGGAAAACTGATTGCAGAGAGCATGAGGAGAGAGGTGGCCTTCATGACATGATGATGGGAGTGAGGCAGGTGCACCCAGTGTCTCATGCACCTCATTCACTGCTGAGCAGGGACCATTAGTCCCACTGAAGAAAGCTGCTGACAAAAAGGTTAGAGCTCATTCTCTTGAGCAGTCATGTCAGATTTCAGGTTGGAGGAATGAGATTCCTTCTAGGCAACTCCACGTGGGCTCCTTTCTCCCATCACTGGGCCCTTTTGTTTTCAAAGCTCTCCTATTAGTTTCTTAAAATGGGAACAGCTTTTCCTTGATATCTACAATGATTTATTTTTCTAAGCAATTAAATTTGATTTGTTTAAACCATAGCAGCTCCCTCATTAAAGAGAATGAATCACTGAATCAAAAATGCAAAGGCACTAAGTATGAAAGGCAGGCTCAAGTTTCATATGATTTCAAGGAAAGACCATAGGGCTTGAGGGAAACAGAGCAGGAGCAGTACCTGGAATTGGACTGTCTCCACATGAAACCCTTTACAAGAATGGACCAATCCAAACAGCCCTGCTAAGAAAACTCGAGCATCCTTTTCCCAAACAAGCAGCAAGCCTGAGGGGTTTTGCATCACCAGCTTGTAGAAACAGATGCAAATACAGGTATCCTGTGGCTTGCACACCTGCTGCTAAGTATTTAAATGTGTTTGGAGATCACATAAATTTCTCAGTATTTTGTGAAGAATCTCGTTAAGAGTTTTATTGTTTAGAGTGCTTCTGTAATTTGAAAATCAGAGTTTTAATGGCTTGTACTAAAGTTTCTTTTTTTTCATGTGATTTATTTTTTCAGTTTTGCTGGTACATAACTTTAAAATGTTCCCAGACTTTTTTTTTTAAATGTTTTATAACACCATGAAGGTAATGAATGACGCCTGCCAGCTAAGGCTTTCAAAGCATTTCAATATAGCCTTATTATGACATGAAGAAGTCAGGTTAGAAAATTCTGAAATGAAATAAAGAATTTTAAAATTGTTGTTTTAAGCTTCTGTATCCATGTTTATGGTTTTACATTAGTGATCATAGCTCATAGTAGACACCATAAACCTTAAAACTGACAAAATTATGAAAACCAAGCATTGACATTAGTGGGACTTTAATACAATTTACTCTTATTCAAAGTACCAGTGTAGCCTGTTGATGAGAAAATACCTGTGTTACTGCAAAATGCAGTCTCACACAAAGGTACATGTATAATGAACATATTTTCAGCTTATTTTTCAGACAGAAATTTGCATCCTGCTTCAAAACACTTTAAATGTTTTTTCCATTTATTTATCATTTTTAAAAATGGGGAAGATGGCAGTATTTACCCATTATGTCATTTATCATTCCACAGATATGATAATTTTGGGCAGTTGTCAGAGGAACTACATGAAAGAAAAGCAGGAGCAAGACAAAAGATACTGATACCTTCTGAAATTTGTAAGAGTTGAAATGCCCCCTTAGTCTAGAGTGATACTTGAAAGGCATGAAAAAATTTAAGTGCTACAAAAATTGATTTTTTATTAAACATTTAAAAATATTAAATTTAAATTTAATCGACAGCAGAATAAGCTGACAACAAGGAAATTATTCTCCTAGTTATTCTCCTAGTTATACAAAGTATGGTTGACTTTGTACTTCTCTTTTTTTTTTTTTTTTCCTCTCCAGGATTACACTTTGACTATGTATTTTCAACAGTACTGGAGAGATAAGAGGCTGGCTTATGCTGGCATACCTCTGAACCTCACGCTTGATAACCGAGTGGCAGATCAGCTTTGGGTGCCTGACACTTACTTCTTAAATGACAAGAAATCATTTGTGCACGGCGTTACTGTGAAGAATCGAATGATTCGCCTTCACCCGGACGGAACGGTGCTTTACGGCCTCAGGTCTGTGCTTCCATGATGAAGATTTCATTGCTGCTCTTATGTGTTGTTGATGTTTGCTTCCTGGTACAAGGTTATTACAAACATTGGTTAGTTTATTATGTAACCTTCCCTGTAACTCTAAGAGATGCCAGTAGAAAACAAATGACACACTCGATGTTTCTTAATTTTGCCAGAAGCGCCTTCAGTCAGGTTTTATCTGTTTCTGTACAGTCACCATATCTGGAAAGCCCGCTGGCTATAGGAAGCAGAAAGGCACATATTAGTTGTAAACCTGAAAATCCTGTCCAAAGTACAGGCGGTAAGATTGAATATGGGTGCTTATGTTGTCTCCTGATGTGTTCATAGTCTATAAAAAAAAAATAAAAAAAAGCCAGAAGCAGGCCTGGTTGGGGGGAGGGAGTCAGCCACAGCTAAGATCATGACCTGCTACTTTCAGTGATTTCTTCAAGCAGGAATCAGCACTGTAATTGTTACATTTCAAACCAGAGGTATAAAGTGACCTTAAATTCTCTTACTTTCTACCTATTTTATGTTTGATTTGTGTTTTCTTCCTTTTCTGTCATAGCTTTTATGGTTAGAAATGCTGAAGTATCCTTCTCTTAATAAACTTAACTACACCAGCAAAAATCCTTATAGAAAATGCAGTAGTATCAAAATAGTACTTTCTTTGAACGGGTTAGTTCACTTGCTCCAGTAGTTTAAGCCAGCAAAAAAAGTCTTTGCCAGTGAAAATTCCATTTCCACAGGTGGAAGTTTCTTGTATATTTAAGCTGAGAAAATACTCAAGATTGGTGCACATAGGTAGTGAAAGATAAAAAGTCCCTAATATAAAAATGAATGAGAGCACAGAAGTGGTGGAGATGGGTTATATATCCAGTATCAATTTTACCTGCTTCTCTTTCTTGTCAGTAGTTGAACTTTTTACTTGACTTGGATCTTGGCCCTCACCTTTTTAACTCCTATTACATGTCATGTATGGAGAATTGAATGAATCTTTCTAGACAAAATAGAGATAGATGCAGCCTAATATGAAACTTCAAAGAAGTTTAGAATGTTTTCTCTGTAATTAACCATTTTTTAGCAAAATGAGGCTTTTGTTTTGCAAGGTATTGACTCAGTATGGAACACTACAGGTTTAGGATTCTTTCCACAAATGGTTAAATATAAGAAAAAATTATCTGAGATATATTTGTTTCCTTCATGTCAAGAAATACCCCCCCCAAGCAATATAATAAAAGAGTAAAGCAGATTAGAATTCTTGTGATCCTAGTAATGTGTAGAAGTCTTTCTGTCACACTCTAAAAACATTTGGACACATTCAGGTGAGGATTATCTGCCATAGAGTAGTGTCTTTGAATAAGTTGGCTTCCCTTTCTGCAAATGCAGATGCATTCCACATAATAGGATTTGCTTAGCAGGGTTTTCACCAGTGGCTCATGTGTAGCACACTTCTTCCCATTTCTTTTCTCTGAAAAGAAATGTAATATCCAGGGTGAGATATCTATGACATGAAGCAGCTAAGTTACATAGTGAAGAATGACTGTCTTAAATTAAATTGTGGCAAAATATAGAACACTGTGATCCAAATGAAAAAAATATGTGAGCCTCATCTCTGCTGATTTAAAGACCTGTGTGTGCTTTGTGTTGTTCCATCACTATGCTACTTCCTCTGTTATGGCTTCAGAGCATCCCAGTGGCATTGGGCTCAAGCTGCAGTCCAGGGGCAGTGTGGGTTGAGGCTGGAACTTGGAGTTTTATGTGCCACAAAGCACAGGGTCACTGAGAATAATAGGTGAAATTTTGGAGGGTTGCAACCAATTACAAAACATCCACAGAGCAAAGCAGTTCCTCAACACATATATAATTAAAAGTGATCCATCCCAAGGCCACACTGGATGTGTGTTCTCTTCTGAACAATGTAGGATTTATCACAGTTTTGAAAGACTTGACCTTCAGTCATCCAAGGTTCCTCTCTGCTTTAGAGAAAGCACTTTGCTACTGCAGCAGAAGTCTGTGATAGTGGGGGAATGGAACAGTATCTTTTTGAAGTTCAGCCCATTTCTGGGGATTTTTTTTTCTTTGTGTGACACACTTAATTTGTTCTACCTTCTTCAGAACAATCTACAAGGAAAATGATGATAAAACAGCTTTTTTTTCATAAGAGACTAAGGAAGAAATGACTATAGTCTGGGGATCAAAAATAGTCTGACTGCTTGTGTGTTGCTCGTGCATAAACCTCTTGTTTTTAGACAGTACAATGTAAGATGTTAAAAGTGAGTGGAGGAATATATGTATTTTATCTGAAAGGACTCACATAATTATTACCCATATCTGAAACATGATGAATGTTTTCACGGTGAAAAGGTTAGTTGTGATCAGTCAGACAAGGCAACCATGTTTACTTCTATTCTTTTTTTGGATTAATGTATTTCTGTATCAAGAAAGTAAACTGTCAGGACTGTGACCTAGTCATATATGAAGTATCTATATTGGCTAGACTGATTCATACTGTAAAAGTTTTGGGAACATAAAATATCCTTCTCTCAGTTATGTATGCAGCACCTCATCACAGATGGGGCTCCTGTACAATACAAAAGTATAATCAAAGACAATGAGCCCAGGAATATAGTACCACAGAAGGGTAAGAGAATCTATATCCAGAGGAAAGGAAACCAGAGTAGGAAATTACAAACAATTAAAAACATTTTCTTTGTGTGTTGCTTTCACCCAAATTGTATGTGTGTCTCTGTCTCGCTTCATCTTTGTCTGGTTCAGCATCATTCCTCTGTCACTGCCATGATGATGAGTTCTTGAAACCTTGTTGTCTTGTGTTAGGCACCCCCATCCCATAAAAAGTTAACCTGCTCTTCTTGGGAGCATGCACAAGCCTGCACTGTTCATTCTTGCTTTTGGTGTGCATTTTTGCAAGTTAAATTCGGTTGCTTGAATGTTCATTCAGGAACAACCTCTGAGTACTAAACATATTTTGAAAAAATGAGGTAAATTTGTTTCTGTCTATTTCTAGCTGTACCTTCTTTTCTGGTGTATATTTATTAAATTAAAAACATCAATTTTTCTGTAAAAAAGAGTTAAAAAGTTCCTTGAGCAAGAATGTGCAGTTTCTGGGACTGGAATCTGTGATACAAAACTGCTAGAATATGTGAATAGACCAAAATATAACACAATTATTAAGTTGAATATAGGTTTGCCAGCTGTATAATTTTTTGCAATATTGTAAAATTAATCATTTGTGTTCTGTATGGCTGGCATTTAAAGCTGGGTATACAACATAATATTTAAGAGTCTGCTAGCACATTCCCTTTCATATCAACTTAGCTCATGTGGATTCTGCTGCAGGATCCCACATGAGACCTAGGTTTGTGTAGGCGAATCTTCTAAAGCATGGGAGAGAACCTTCATATCAACAATTTCTAAGCTTGCCTACTTGTTTTACTTTGAACACAGTTATTACTTGACTCATGAGCAAGATCCTTTCATTGCACAAACAGTATGGCTTTGTTAAGGTGATCATTGCTTGTTTATAAATAATCACAGACTGAAGAATAAGTTTTCTCCTCCAAGACCGTATGCTAATCCTAGTTTTATATGCTTAGCTAGAGCTGCTCTTAGTCATTGTCTTGAGGAGATATTCAAAGAATCACAGAAAACTTAGGGTTGGGAAGGACCTTAAAAACCATCCTGCCATGGGCAGGGACACCTTCGGTTAGGTCACGTTGCTCAAAGCCCTGTCCAGGTTTACCTTCAACATTTACAGGGATAGAGAATCCAGAACTTCTCTGGGCATCGTGTTCCAGTGCCTCACCACCCTCAAAGTCAAATTTTAATCCTAAAATCTGATCTAAATCTACCACCTTTCAGTTTAAAGCCATTACTCCTTGGCCTACCACTACACATCCTCCTAAAAAGTCCTACTCTAGATCTCTCGTAGCCTATCTTTTGGTATTGGAAAGCCAGTAAGATCTCCCTGGATCCTTATCTTCTCCAGGCTAAACAACCCAGATGGTTAATCTTCTCCATAGGTAATAACCCTGTTAGCACCCTGAGTTTCCAGAAGGGCATTAGCAAATGTTGGTCACAGAGAAGTTTCCCTAAACTGCAGAGCAGCTGAGGAGCTGCTGTTTGTACACTGCTCCAGGCCACCGGAATTTGTGTTAACGGAGGAACCACAGCAATTACCAGATGGAGCTTGGAGGAAGGCTGACCTAAGTATCCTCTTGTGATATGATACTTAGTACCTGAAATCCTGTGGGACTACTAGCATAGGACTTTTCAGAGGACAGTCAGAGGAGTCAGCAGTGACAAAGACATGGCCATGCTATAGGTAAGGCTGGAAAGGACAAAGATCAGGTGTGTGCCTTTCTCACTGGCTACTGGTAGGAACACAAGTTAGAAGATGTGATGAGTCATAGATCCTTGAGTTTTTTCCTCTCCTTCCTCATTCATTGTCTTTGTGCTCATACAATTTTCTCTCCCTGTGCAAAGAAATTACAGTATTTTCTTGCAAAAACACCTTCCCAGTCAGAGAAGGGTGGCCTCTGTTGTCCTGTGAGATTGCAATAATGGTCTTAATCCCTTTCATTAGATACTATGTGGTTATTCATCTAAAATAATCCTGTATACTAAGGACAAGCATTCTTTCTTTTCTTTGAGTTTGGATAGAACATTCATAATAACAATGTAAGTTTTTTTAACTGTGAAAGATGTGAAGAAAGGCACCTAACTATTTTTTTACTCTTGAAACACTGCCCTGGAATTTTGAAGTAGTTTACCAGATTAGAAGACTATAATTTGAGAAGGTTAATGGTTAGAAGAAATAACTTCAGAGAAAAGACATGAAAATAACATTAACATTGAGGGTTCCAGCTTTTAGAGGTACATTGAAGGCATTTTCCCATCTTGTATTTATTAGCATAAATTATCACTAGAATATTATTTGTTTAGGAACAAACTGTGTGCAAGGTCCATGTCTTGTTTATATCAAAAAAGGATCAGTAAGGAATGGAGCTAGTCAGATTCAGAAGATAATTTAAATGTGAAATTTATATGAAGCCATTATAAAAACAATGATGCATAATAATGTACATACCCTTGGTGAAGGCTGTGATTCGGAAAAACATCAAAATATGCTGCAGATTAATTATGAGCATATGGTTATATCTGTCTAAAGTTAGTACAAATATATATATCCATTAATTACAAAATAAATTGACAGTGCTGTGTGAAGCTGTTAAGACAGTTGTTCTGGTTGCACATGTTTGTTGTTGACTCTCCTGATATACAAGAGGTTGAAGAATAATGCTGATTCATCAATGGTGAAATGTTTTGCAAAACCATCCTTAGGGTGCTAAATGGTTAAATAGACAGAGAAGCAAAAGTGTATTGTTATTTGAGGAGAAAACTTAAAATTCAATATAGAGCTTCACAACAAAATCTTCTTTGAATTTGAAAACCAGGGAAGTAATATTTAAAACAAAGCATTTCGCTGGACTTTAAACTGTTTTTCAGCATTTCAGGGTTTTTTTTTTCCTAGACCTGTCACAGAACCAAGAAATCAGTTATTCATGCAGCTGTAATCATTTTGACATTTGTAGCAGACTATTTTCACTTCATGGTTTCTGTTATAAAGTCGTATCTTTTATCCTCGGCAAATGTTCATGTAATATTTGCATATGAGGATAGGTCCATTGATCCCCAAAGGAGCTGGTTGCATAAGGGTAATTCACAGCAAGTTGTTCCACTGAAATTCAGTGTAATTGCTGCTCTATTAGGCTGCTTATAAATGTAAAAATACAGACCAGATTCTCAGTTATTGTAAGCTGTTTTTCAGAGGGTCTTCACTTTGGAAGATAAACAACCCCATCACCCAAAACTTGGATTACTGGCTATATGGTAAAACTCTTTGGTGCTTGTGTTTCAGAATCACAACCACTGCAGCATGTATGATGGACTTGAGAAGATACCCATTAGATGAACAAAACTGTACTCTGGAAATAGAAAGCTGTACGTACCTAAAAAGATGCATGTGAAATCTAGTTTGGATCTAGCTTGTTTTCTTGCATATTTTTTTGTTTTGTTTTGTTTTATAGAACTGTGTAATATTTACACGTGTCTATAAACACTATTTGAATTGTAATTATCACCATTTGGATTTTTTTTTGTCTGTTTATTTGAATTATTAAAAGATGTAAAGAGTCATCTATTTCTAGATAGATTAATACATCCCAGAAAATAAGGTTAGGACAGAAAGAAGTAATTTAGTATTCCTGCCTGACCTAAGAGGTAGTGACTGGATGCTTATCTTCAACATGAGAGATGAATATTTGTATTTTTATCAGATTTATTTCCAAGTGAGCAAACACTGTGATACAATTTTCTTTCAATATCCTTCATTATGTATGGATCATCTTGGTGCAGGACCTACTCTGGGCTTTCAGGCTGACCCCATTTATGATTTGAAACTATGTTACAAAAAGAACAATATTCTCTTTTCACCTAGTCATGTCCTAGGATTGCAATATTCAGATGTATATTTGCACTTCAGAAGTACCTGGTCCATTTCTGCTACTGGCTGGAAATTGTGGCCATATACAGAAAATACTAGTATATATTCCATATTCAGCTGTAGTTAGTCCTCTACTAATGGAAGCTAGTGGAAATAATGCAACTCACAGTTTACTGTGAGTGGAAAAGGTCTGGCCCAGTTATGTTTCTCTGTGTTCCTTGAATAATTAATATTATAATTAATATCCTTAAATAATAAAGTTAATAAGTAACCTTCTTCTGGTGATTATCAGTGTAAATATACATTTGGTTTCAGTGCTAAATGTATCTGATATCCTAAATCTTGGATAGTGTTTTCTTCTCACTGTGACCATTAGTGAATAATATATGAGTGATTAAAAAAAAATAAAAAGAAAGCTGAGTATTTTGCCTAAAATTCTCAGTCAGACTGTAATGGTGTAGCGATTTGGGAGACCTTCCCACAGGCAAAATACCATACAGCTCTCCAGCTGTTCCAATTCTTTTTCTTTTTGTTGTCTCAAATGACAAGCTGCATGTTTGAGGCTATGTTTGAGAACACTGTTATTTCTGACTTTCTTGCTTTGCCTGCAGATGGCTACACAACTGATGACATAGAGTTCTACTGGAGAGGTGGAGATAATGCAGTCACTGGCGTGGAGAGGATTGAGCTTCCTCAGTTCTCTATCGTGGAATACAGACTGGTGTCAAAGAATGTTGTCTTTGCCACAGGCAAGTATTGCCATTTGCCCATTTAGTGTTTAATTTTCTTGTGCATGAAAATTACTGTTGTATTATTAATAATTAACTTTAATTACCAGTCATGATATGTAGCCTGTGTTGCATGTTTGGCTAAAGAAATTAGTTGACAAAGCCTGGAGGTAGGAGCCCATGAAAATTACAGACCTACATTCAGTACTGCATTCAGCTCCAGGGACTCCAACACAAGAAGGACATGGACCTGTTGGAACAAGTCCACAGGAGGGCCACAAAGATGACCAGGGGGATGGAGCACCTCTCCTGTGAATACAGGCTGAGAGACTGGGGTTAAGCTGGAGAAGAGGACCTTCTAGCAGCCTTCCAGTATTTAATGGAGCCAACAAGACAGCTAGGGGAGGGACTTTTTTATAAAAATGTGTAGTGATAGCACATGGGCAAATGGCTTCATGCTGAAAGAGGATATATTTAGATTGGATATAGAAAGAAATTCTTTACTGTAACAGTGGTCAGGTTGGATGGGGCTTTGAGTAACCTCATCTAGTCAAAGGTGTCTCTGCCTATGGCACTGGGGTTGTAACTGTGTATTCTTTTATGTCCCTTCCACCTCAAACCATTTTGTGATTCTTTGTCTCCTTGGTTTTTTTTTCTTTTTTGTGTATGTATGTGATACTTAACTAGACACCTAGATATCCATGATCTAAATAAATATTAAGTCATTCACCTCTGAATCATGATTGAAATACAGCCTACAGGGTAACTGATCATACACAAATGTGTTTGGGTATGCTAGGTCAAAAAGCCACCAATTTTATAAACACCTCTCTGCAACTTTTCAGTGCATGTTTGTTTTGTTGTTATATAGCAAATGTAATGTGTTTAATTACTTGACTTGCACTGATGGATATATAGTATTTTACGTAGTCATCCACTGCATTTGTTGTCGTTGTTAAGGTGCTCAAATCAAATCCCTGCTTGTTTCCTTGAAGATGGAATAAAAATTAGTAGTAACTCACAGTACTAGATGTCTTTGAATTACAAAGTGCAAGGTTGATTTACGTATTTGGTGTTAGACACCAAAATAGGAACATGTGTGGCAAAACCAAAGCAACACATAAAGCCATCAGCACATGTGGAGCCATTATTTGGCTCATTATTGGGGGCCTTCAGATTTTCAGTGCTGTTCAGACCACAGGAGTGTGCTGTTCCATCTGTCTCCGCACACTAGAACAAATGAAGCACAGCTCAGTCATGTTTGTAAGCATCACTTCACCCACTCTTTGGACACAGCATCTGTTTCAAAGTACACAGAAATACAAGTTGTATTTCAGAACAAAATGTAAATATTGCTGGGATTGAAATTAGTACGAGAGGGTTTGCCAACTGCTGCTGTTCTTGTTTACCATTGTGAATGTAAGATATTTTCTTCTATAGAGAATCAGTTGCTCTAATCCTGTATCCTTCTGTCCTGCAGCTAGTGTCACCTTTGGCAGCCAGGGCTTACTCGTGCCTCCACAGGACTGGATATACTTTTGTAGGAAAGCTCTTTTAGACAACAGTGAGAATACAGAGAACTTATTTGTGGAGTGCCTTTAATGACAGCCCAAGGCCACCTTTTAGTTCAGCGTGAAATATTTCACTAAATGCATGGTTTAGTAATGTAGAGACGAAAGATTTGTAAAAATCGGAAAATGAAAAATCGAAAGAGATATGTGACAAATACAAGAGAGACTAAAAACTAGGAACACATATTTCTGTGACTGACCAAATGTTCAGAATATTAATGGTTCTTTCTTCAAAAAACTAGTGAAAGAAATAAAAAAGTCTCATGCTTCAGGGTTTAAAACAGCTTGGCATCAGGGAATCACAGAGAACAGAATGTTTCTTGTACCATTTTCTGAAACATTTAATTTTTTTCACTGATGAAGACACAATACTGAATTTACTATTGCTTTGATACAGGACATTATAAAAATGCTTGATTAATTATGACATTTTATGACAAGTATTTCCATGCAGGGAAACATCACATTTGTTTCTAAAAACCACATGTTTAAATCTAAATCCAAAGCATGCCAGCAGATCGGATGCATAAAGTCAGCAGACACTTTTCAAGTTTCTTCTCAAGAGTTTCTTACAGTCCCAGTAATTAGGGCCAGCTTCTACATTTTTTTGGAAAATAAGTAAGGCATGTTTTTGGCTTTGAGGTTATTGAAGTCTCAGGGGGAGATACTAGTTCTTTGAGCGCAGTATCTCAGTGAACATTTCAGAGATTTCAGTCCTAGTATGCTTTGATTGAATAAAACTAAAAGAAGACTTCAGAGTCATGCCATAAACAGCTTTTGGATTACTTATTTCTCCTATCCTTCAAGAGAAACTGTTCTGTATAATCTTGTGTAATTTAGGCAAAGGGAAAAATCTGTTCCCATAGTTACTACTGAGAAGCAATGATAAGCATGGGAAAACCCCCATCAATAATGACAGAAATCAGGGTCAGCTGCAAGAATGCTGGAGGAGCTGAATGCCTAATGTTGAAGTATAGAATGGAAGTTAAAATTTATCTTGCCAAATTAACAAAATGTGTCTGAAAAATGTATAACATTCAGTATGGACAAGTTCAAAATACAGTATCTGTGCAACTAATTATTCCTATCCAGATTAAGGATAGAGAATGCCAGGTTATGCCATGGTTCTGTGTGTAGAAATATAGGGGTTGTTGTTGATCTCAGACTGGAAGTGAGCCAGTAAGATCTTTTTGGGGAGAAAAAGGAAAGAAACAGACAAAACCAAAAATCTTACCATATAAAGAAGTCTTGTTTACATTGATAATGCTTAGTATTATTATTAGAGCTTAGTATTTGTGGTCAAGGGTAGCACTCTTGAAGGCAGTAATGGAGCAATAGAAGAGGGTTTATGAAAAATAAGCAAGTGTGAGTGAAAATCTTGAAAAAGGCATACTTGAGATTAGTGGAGAAACAAGTATGGTCATGTAGTTTAAAAAAAGAGAAGGCTTGATTGGAAATGAAATAAAACCTTCAGGTGTCTAGAAGGTATCTGCAAAGCCATATATAATAGCCTGTTGCCTTTATTAATGATTTTTAAATTGTTGTGAAAAAGAAATACCTGGTTTGACTGTTCTTCTAACACCAACTGAAGGCCATACAGGATACCATGAGGTATTTAAGTGGCACTGGATGCCCATGTGTCAGGAACTGAATTAAGCCCACAGTCAAATGCCATCCTGTCAGTGCTGTCAGTGAAGCCTAAAGAGCTGTTCAGCTCTTGAATACCTCTTCTTTCTCAAATGAATATTTTAAGACACTATTCAGTTGCCTAAACATAACAATCTGCTGCTTTTTGAGCTGCTGTAGAAGATCCTGGTTAGCAGTTAGGCTGCTGTTCTGGCATCTTACAGCCTTATGTCCTGTGTTCACCGTCTAGTGCTTCAGTATCGATTTCTTACGTAGTGTTCTGTTCTGCTCTTCTTTAGCCTGTCACATCTCAAATGAGAGTATAGACACCAGCATAGGCAGTTAAATCACACCCTTAGAATCAGCTGGCTCTAAGTCTAGATCTCCATGGTTTCCACTAACAGCTCATGCTCCATCCATGTGCAAATATCTGCATTCAAACACCTGAAATGTAGTTCCAAGTCCGTTACCTGAATCTGCCTCCCAAACTGCTTAGATACTGAACAGGAATGGGGGATATGTAAAACACCCCCTAAAAGCTTCAAGTCACATAGCAGTCAAAGCCAGATTAGCCTGTTGGTAAGAGGAGGGTAGTCTCAAAAGATTTGAAAATTAAATATTTGCTGTATTCTGAAAGATCAGTATGTAAAGTACATTTCCAATTAGCCAAAGAGCCTTCCCAAAAGAACATATTAAAGTAAGAATTCTGTAACTGACCAACTCTGTTATCTTGTTTCATACTTGGATAAAACAGCAAGAGACTAATTTATCCTTGAAGCCAAATATTTCAGCTTGCTAGCTTTTAATGAAATTGGAACAGAAACAAGTAATCTCTTTTTATCAAGTGCCCAAATATGTGAAAAGGGAATATTTTGGGCTCAAATATTGATTAAGTATTTATTTTCATACTTTCATTCCCAATACTGTTCAATTTAAATACTTCTGGCAAAATTCTGTTATTCCTATAGTATTTAAATTAGCCCATATACATCAACATGTTTTATGAGATGGGAGGGAGGATAACAAGGCAAAACAAGGTAAAAAGGAAAAAAACACAAAATTTTTATGGAAAATTAACTACTAGAATTTCTTGGTAATTAATCGCTAAGTGTACTTCATTGACAAATCATTATGTGCTCATAATCAAGCAAGTAACAGTGTAATTGTTGAGCTTACCCAGAAGTCAGCTTATATTAAATAATCCACAGAATGGATCCTTCTTTGATAAATAAAGATGTGGACTTGCAGTCCTTGCTCCATGAAGGTTAGGACCCATCCTTTTCACTGAGCTTTAGCCATTCAGAAAAAGAGGGAATAACTATGGAAAAGGAGCAGGGGTCCTTCTTTTAATTGTTCTTTTTTCCACAGACTCCTGTGGCCTTTTAGATGGAGGTGAGATACTGTGGCAGAGATGGCAGGGTGGAGGCAGGGTCAACAGATAATTTTTGAAGACATAAAAGCAATTCAGTTGAAAGAAATATAAACTCTCATAGTCTCAGAGAGAGGTACCTAAGGAGAGCCATGGCCATGTAGTATGACAAAAAACAAGGCTACAGTTCATGTCTCAATTTCAACTTGACCCTAAAAAAGTCTATACTGTACATGTCAACTGCAGTAAGCAGCTGTAATGCCAGCAAGACTTGTGTTTAGGTTGTCTGGGAGCCTCACACCATCAAAATTTACTTTGAGAAGGGTTTGGATTCATCTTTTTCTGATTTATGGGGAATTTCGGTGTCCACATTTGGACTAGGTATCTGAGCAGGTCAGAATCTAGTCCATACTGCTGGTGGAGTCTGGAGACAAATTCAGTACGCCTGTAAGAGTCCTTTCTAGGAGGTGGTGGGTAATTCTCTAGGTTTCATTTTCTAGATTGACTGGATGAACTGGAGTTTAGACACCAAGCTCACATGTAGGCAGTTCAAGTGAGTTGCTTAATCAGTTGCTGTTTGAGGGCACAAGGCAGTCTTCGTAGTATCCACATACTGACCAAAGAGATGTAGGGGGTATATAATGTCCACCAGCTGTGTGCTGGTGTCTGAGATGCCACAGGGCATCTCAAAAGGATCAGGGCACAATCAGATTGGCAACTAAATCTATCTGTTACTCAACTCCAGCCCTAGAGCACGAAGACAGAAAGCACTGATAGCCTTGGCCCTATACATGGTTCTTGGGGTTCTAGCTTCAGGACAAAGAGCCTGGTGCTTGAAACATATTTAGGTTGGTATCTCTGGCCTTGAGGTCAGCTCTTTGGGGAGTCCACCTTTAAGCCCAGATCTCACTAGTTTCAGTAATTACCTCACCTAATTAGACAGAAATGGTGCTGAGGTAATGGATGGTGGTCACAGGTGAAGCATTCAAGATAAATGTTTAAAGTTCACTCTGTTACATACAGTTTCTAAGTTTGGGATTTCATAACTGAACATTACTAACATATGTGACACATTATTTTCTCCCCTGCTGATACACACCTCTATCACCTACACCATTTTCTGTGCTTTATCAACAGTGAAGTTCTCTCTTTTTTCTCTGAATTTCCCTAATACATCCAGGGTCCTTGGCTCTGAAGCAAACAGAAAAAAAAAAAGAATTTACTTTGATTCAGTGATTCAGTTCTACTGAACTTTCTTGAATTAATCCTTCATACTATTTAATCCAAAAATTGGTATTTTATGGGAAAATTTTCAGTTGTCATCTCTATCAATTATATTCCACAGATGTCCAGATCAAAAAACTTTAGAAAAGTTTTATACACATTCATAGAAAACCCTTTGAGCCCTTTGGGTGCTGTATTATATGAAGTAATTTTTCTCAACAGAGCTTTATAAAGATTTCTGTCTTATGTTCTACTCTTATTGCAGAAAGGTGATCAGGTCTTCTGCATTTTTAATGTATTTCATTATGGCAGTGTTTATATATTTCATTATGGTCTCCTGTTTTATTTATATAGTCTGCAGACACAAGGCACAGAAACATTTTCATAATAATCCAAATGAAAAAGTTAAACTTTGCCAAAATAAAAAAAAAAAAAGTCAGGCCTGATTTCAGTGAGAGAACTTGTCTTTTGAAATGAAACATGATTCATTGGAAAATGAAAATGTTAAACAAGCTGCAGTATAGAAGTTTTCTTGTTGAAAATTGTGTTGACTCCTTCAGACAAGAGAAAACCTTTGTCTGATAAGGATGAAATACATTCTTCTGATTCCACCAATATATACTTCTTTTGGTGAAATTAAAAGGCATTTCATCCTGGGAAAAGATGCTGCTGATTGAAGTAATCACAGCAACCGGATACACCTACCAGATATTTATTTTCCCAATGATAGCTGTTCTGAGATTGTTTGATACAACAGTTAAGAATATTTGCACAAGTTTGGTATTACCTTGATGCTTCTGCTGCCTGGAAATGGTGTGGCATTTTTCTGTCGTATGACTCAAAATGTAACAAACTGTCAGGAATGAAAGAAAGCGAAATCTCCAGTTTTCTAGTCCTTCTTTCCCTTTTTTTCTTAGGAAATCCATAATTCATGTCTATATGGGCAAATGTAGTTTCTCAAGCTCATATGCAAACATATGAATATAATCTTTAGATAAGTTTTTAATTTTTCATTTTTTCTCTAGATGTAATCTTTCATATATTTTACGTATTTGCATTAGAATGGGTGTGAAGTGTTCTAATATCTGGTTTGTGCCAATATTGGTATGTGCCAAGAAAAGTTTTTTTAGGATGTTGACTAGATGTTTTTAGATGAGCTGTTAGAAGTATATCTAAGACGGGTAGTGCGAACACTGAAATCATGGAGCTAATGTGTGAATGACTACCTTTTTCTTATACAGCTGTACTCAGATTTAATCATCTTTACATTCAGTGAAAAAAGTCACAATTATTTTTAACCATTTGAGATTTCTAAATATATTTGTCTGAATATATATATGTATATGTCTAAATTGTATTCAGTAAGATTAACTCCAATTCAGTAAGATACACAACAATCAAGAGGTTATTAATTACTTTCATTGTTAATTTTTTTCTATTTGTAACTGTTCATAAATTTTACATATATATTTATCTATATATACACACACAAAAATCAACCTTTATTTTGTTTAAAATATGTTTGGAAGAAAAATTCAGGCTGGCTGCAATTGACATTAGAGGATCTAACCTGAAGGCTTTTCCTTTAGTGGAATTCATTATAATTTATTTTTGACACCACAGGTCACATGTTTCTTATAGTTCAGATGTAATTAAGAAGTCTCATCTCTTGAACAGCTGCTCATTGTAAATTAAAAACTATGCACATTACTCATTATCTCAATATAAATTCTATACTGTGAAAACGGTGTACTTGGATAAGCATTTTACTTGGAGACCTAAGCATTTGTTCTTAAAAACTACCCAGTGTTCACCTATCTGTTCAATTGTCCAAAGTAATTTACTGTCTCTCTTTCTTTCCCAAATACAAATTACTCGGCTATCACTGTATTCACTGCAATGCTTCTTTTAATACCAATGAGTAATACAGTGAAGGTGTCATCCCTACTGTTCTGCAGTTGTCATATACCCCACAAAATGTGCATGCTTTAGTTTCTGCAGAATCTGAAGGCAGCTATCTACAAGTGTCTTTCCTTCAGTATAAATAATGCTGTTTTCCTCTCTCTTTTCTCAGGTGCCTATCCAAGACTCTCATTGAGCTTCAGGTTGAAAAGAAATATTGGCTACTTTATTCTTCAAACCTATATGCCCTCCATACTGATTACTATTTTATCATGGGTGTCATTCTGGATCAATTATGATGCATCAGCAGCAAGAGTTGCCCTTGGTATGTGCTAAGAATGAGTGGGACATTAAAATGTCAGACTTAATGTAGCCTTAAGAGGTTGTTAAAAACTACAACGTGATGTCAGTGTTTTGAAATTCCAAAATAATTTGCGTCAAAATCATGTCATCCAGTATTGCCTCAAAAGTGATGTTTTCCCCTGCATGCAAGAGTGTAGCTACCACTAAATCTCTGACATGAGCTGCTCATACAGGTCCCAGACTTGTTCTCATCAAAGTTAATGTTGCCAGTGAATTCATCTAGGAGACCAGCTGCACAGTCGTACTTGAGCGTGGGCTTTAGTCCAGCTCAGTGTGGGAGGACAAACGTGGCTCCAAGCCTCCTCCTGAGGTCCTGGTGCTTTAACTGACACTGGCAGGAACAGACTTCAAGAACCATTGCTAGTTCAGCACACAGGGGCACATCAGCTATGGATCCCTCCATGCCACCTAACCCTCAGGTTACAGGTATGTTAAGTGCATGTTTATCACAGCTTAAAGTGTTACTTACCTTGGGACAGAAAAACATGGATTTGGCACAGGTATGTGATTCCTGCCCAAGAACTTTTCAGATCCTTTAAATAAGAGTATCAGTATCCTTTAGAAGAGTATTCAATATCCTTTACATAAGAGAAGGTCACTAGAAAATTGTGCAGTTGACATGCTGGAGGGAAGGGATGACATCCAGAACTTTGACAAGCTTGAGTGGTGAACCCACTTGAACCTCATGAAGTTAAACAAGGCCAAGTGCAAGATCCTGCATGAGGGTCTGGCAAGCCCAAGCACAAGTACACACTGGGTAGAGAATGGCTTGAGAAATAGCCCTGAGGAGAAGGACTTGGGGTGTTGGTTTGCCAAGGAGCTCAGCATGACCCAGCAATGTGCACTTGCAGTCCAGAACTGTGTCTGGGCTGCACCAAAATCAGCATGGCCAGCAGGGTGAGGGAGGTGATTGTTCTTGACTCTGCTCTTATGACACCCCAGCTGGAATACTGGATCCATGTTTGGGGTGCCCAACATAAGAAGGTCATGGACCTGTTGGAGTGAGTCCAGAGAAGGGCGACAAAGGTGATCAGAGGCTGGAGCAACCCTCCTGTCAAGGCAGACCAAGCAACTTGATTTTGTTCAGCCTAAAGCAGAGAAGGCTCTGGGGTAACCTTTCAGCACCTTCCAGTACCCAAAGGGGGCCTGCAGGAGAGCTGGAAATGGACTTCATACAAGGACAGGACAAGTAGAAATGGCTTCAAAATGACAGAGAGTAGATTTGAATTAAGAAGAGATTCTTGATTGTAAGGGTGATGAGGCACTGGAACAGGTTTCCCAAAGAAATTGTGGATTCCCCATCCCTTGAAGTGTTGAAGGCCAAGTTAGATTTGTCTTCAAGCAACTTGATCTAGTGGAAGGTCCCTGTGCATGGCAGCAGACTTAGATGGGGTTTAAGGTCCCTTCCAAGCCAAACTGTGATTCTGTGATAGAATGGTATTGTCCATTTGAGTGCTCCTACTAAAACCACACTGCCTCTTGCTTCCCTCTGTCCCCCTTCCCACTGCGGGTGGCCAGAGAGAATTGGAGACACAAAAGGCAAAGGTGAGGTAAGAACAATTTACTGGAAACAGCAATGAAACAAGAAAACGAACAGGATCAGCAACTTACTAATAACAAAACTGTACAAAAGAGAGAATGACTGACAAACAAAAATGCTCATTGTGGAACTCATGACTCAATGACAGCCACACTTGCCCCAACCTGAAAAGACTCCCTTCCTGCAACCTCTGGCAATGATGTGAGGTGATATAGAATAACCTTTGGGTCTTAGCCATGCCCCCTCCTGGCTACTGCAAAAATAAACCCTGTCCTTGCCAGAACCAGGACAAATTCTGTGACAATATCTCACAGCAAATATTTCATCTTTACCAGAAGTATACTCAGGGATAGCTGTAGCTAAGGAAGATTAAATGGGTCTATAAATCCCTATAAATACTTCTGCTTCTCATTTTGTCCCAAATTCTGTCTTCAACCCTGTGCTTCCCAATTACACATACCTTGCTACCCAAAACTTGTCACTGTCTGTGCTATCTTCCTGCTGTATTCTCTTATTTTCTTAAAACTCTCTAGTTCCCTTATTTTTTCTGTAATTTACCACAGCAAACCCAGACGTCAACCCATGTCCCTGTGATTCCCTGTTTCCTTACTCCCAAGGTCCCACATACCAAAGCAGGCAGGGTAGCCACCTCTGTGCAACATGTTACTCAGCATTTGAATTTGGGTAGCTGGAGACACTGTAAATTAACCACAGTTATACTTCATGTGCAGTAATTCTTCATGTACTGTGGATTAGCTGGTTCTTATGGGCATGACACTGTCTGGCATTACCACTCAGCAGCCCGTGTTTGTTTAGCAGCTTGAAGCTAAGTAGTAGCTTAATAGGAAGTGGGGTATAGAGCCCAAACATCTCTGATGTGTTCATAAATGAGCTACTGGATAGCAGAGATCCACCCAGGTGGACCAAGTGAGGGCAGCACTTCAATCACAACCATCATTGTCTAGATCCATACTGGCCAGGACTGCAGAGAACAGATGGCTAGACAGAAGTTACCGTATCCGGTGACATTCCATGCCCTTCTGTGGCAGGTTCATGAGATTTTGCCTTGTTTAAGGAGCAAGGCTGTCTCATGTGGCCCATTTCTGTGTAGCACAAGTTCATCAAGTACTGTAAGACAAATAAAACAAAAATCAGACAGTACAAGGCAAGCTCGGGAGACCAGATGTTCTATTTCCAAGTGGTAGAAAGTCCTTTTGAGAGGACAAAAATCCATGTAACAGTTTCTTCTCAGAAAACAATTAGTGCCTTGGTGATTATGCCTGTGGTATTTGTATAATAAAGTTCAGTATCATGCGTCTAATCCCATATTCCTTTGTATACCCCCTCTTACTAAGCTGGTACCACAGAATCACAGAAAATGGTTAGTTGGAAGGTCCCACAAGGGACCCACAGGAGTCCAACTCCTGTCCTTGCACAGGACCATCTCTAAGAGTCACACCATGGGCCCAAGAGCATTGTCCAAATGCTTCTTGAACTCTGTCAGGCTGGTGCTGTGACCACTGTCCTGGGGATCTGTTTCAGTGCCCAACCACTCTCTGGATGAACAGCCTTTTTCTAATATCCAACCTAAACCTCCCCTGACACAACTTCAGGCCATTCACTTGGGTCCTGTCACTATTCACCACAGAGAAAAGATCAGCATCTGCCCCTCCTCTTTCTCTCATGAAGAAGTTACAGAATGCAGTTGTAGTCTCCAGGCTGAACAGATCGAGTGACTTAACTTGCTCGTCGTAGAGCGTCCCCTCACAACCTTTCACCATCCTCGTTGCCCTCCACTGGACACTTTATAATAGTACAATATTTTTCTTAGATTGTGCCACCCAGAACTGCTTCCAGTACTTGAGGTGAGGCCACCCCAGCTCAGAGCAGAGCAGGACAATCCCCTCCCTTGCCCACTGGCCATGCTGTGCCTGATGCCCCCCAGGACAGGGTTGGCCCTCCTGGCTGCCAGGGCACTGCTGACTCATATTAAGTTGCCATCCACTAGGACCCACAGGACTTTCTGCAGCACTGCTCTCCAACCTTTTGTTCCCCAGTCTCTCTGTACATTGAGGTTTGCCCTGTCCCAGGTGCAGAATCTGGCACTTCCCCTTACTGAACTTCACATGGTTGGTGATTGCCTGCCCAGTCCTCTAATTTGTCAAGATATCTCTGCAGAGTCTGCCTGCCTCTGGGGCAGGCAACAGCTGCTCCCAGTTGTCTAGTGTATGTGAACTTAAATGGCATCCTAAAGTAAAGTGGTATAAAAGTTGAAAGGTACTATGGCACCTTTGGAAATAATGATTGGCTCTAAAGAACACAGTATAGAGAAGGTATACCTGAATTCCTAAGTATTTGTTCGAGGAAGCATTCTCTGTGCAGTTCTTGGAACACAGACTTTTACTCAACTCCTGCAAGAAGCCTGTATTTCTGCAAGAGCCTGATTCTATTCATTCACTTCCATGTTTTTCCCCTGTGCCTGATCCCTTGCTGCACTGAACCAAACAGTCGCCTCTAGAGTGAAATCTAGGTACAGAGCAAAGGCCAGCTCATTCCAGAGACAGTACTATGGACACTGCAGACAGCCAGTGATGCAGGACTGACCTCAAGAGAAATATTCAAACCTATCAGTTGTGCTCTGTGTTTTGCTAGTTAACCCTTAGAAGTTCCTAAATTCAGTCCTTCAGGTGAGAAGAATTATCTCTAGGGTCTTCTCTTGTGGGAAGGACTATAATCACAAGATTATCTTATTTTTCTGTCTTAGAGGAGTGTCAGCTTCTTCTCCCCCAGCTGTGCTTTAAAATAAATTATTGAGCTTCAGAAAGACATTTGGCTGCAGGGTTTCAGGATCTCCCAGGGAATGTATTTCCCTTTGGTTAGTGATAGCCACCTTTCCATTCAGTGTGCTTAATCTTCCACATCACCAGACATCTGGCATCAGTGCACGCTTGTTTCACAGTTTAGGGAAAAAGCACTGAAAACTGCTTGACACTAACCTACTAAATATCCAATATTATCTCACAGGGTATTACTACAGTTCCCTGGAGTGACACTGCTTACACCAACAGCTTGATTTTGAGTTACATTGTCTTTATTTCTGTCTCTTCATGTAAAAGAAGCTGTGCTTTATTATATGGCAGCAATTTTATTTCAGCCTTCATTTTTGTTCTGCCTGTATTTTAGTGACTACTTGTAAACTGATGGTATAATTATGGAATCAAAGAAAATAGTAATGGAGGAGACCTAGTAGAATGACTTGCCTTGAAATGAGACTTATTCCACAAATCGGTTTTCAACAACCTGTGATTTGCAATTCCCATAGAATTTCCAGTGGAGATACAGATCCCACAGTTCATTGTGAATTCAGGCAGACTGACAATAAATTTTATTTTCTTTTCTGATTTTTAAAACAGTGCTCTGGAATATATTTTCAGGTGCTATGTCCATCCTTAGATAAATATCTTTACATAAGGTTGATACAGATATTTTGTAGATATTTTATTAGTATCCAGTTTGTTGCTATAAAAATGCAGCTCTCCCTAATTCTTCCTTTTAAAAATTCACATACCTATCTGTCTCTCATTGCTTACCTCACTTGTTTCTGTGTAACTAGCCTACTGCTCCAAATTAGTCATCTCAAGTTCCACTTACATACTGTCCTTTCCTGAAATAGGTAGCTAAAATAGATGGGATGAGCTGCTCTAGAAAGGTACCTGTCTCTCCCCTGTCTCTACTACAGGGAGATCCCACAAGACTGGTATCAACCAACTGCCTCACTCCTAGAAATTTAAAACTGTGGGAGAAGTCTTTCACCATCTGTGTGAACACTGTTCTTGTTGCACATCAGTTTGGTCTCCATGGAAGAGATTCTCACTACAGCTACACCGGCTTCCATGAAGCTGTGTTAACTCATGGCAGTGGTGCCAGACCCCCTTGTTAGCTGTTCCCCTGCTCATAGGAAGGAAATAATTGTAACAGAATATCAATGCATCAAGTTTTAATTTTTTAATATTTTTTTTTCAGTGATGTCACCTGCAAGACATCTTTTACAAGTTTTTAAGCTTCTTCCCACTGACAAGGCATATTTACCAAGAAGAAAAATAAAATTGAATGCTTGGAGTTGTAAGATATGCGATCTTTTTTCTTTGTGTAGGAATTACAACTGTGCTGACTATGACAACAATCAACACTCACCTGCGAGAGACTTTGCCTAAAATTCCATATGTTAAAGCCATTGACATGTATCTCATGGGCTGCTTTGTGTTTGTCTTCTTGGCCTTACTTGAATACGCCTTTGTCAACTACATTTTCTTTGGAAAAGGCCCTCAAAGGCAGAAGAAACTTGCAGAAAAAACAACAAAGGCTAACAACGATCGCTCAAGGTTTGAAGGCAATCGGGTAGGTTTCTTTAATTTATATATATTCTCTCTATTTTTACATTGTAAAGACTATCAGTATGAAAAAAAACAAAAACAAAAAGACTTGCATAAAAACATCACTGTCTGGTGACAACCAACCACATCTTTTTGTAGACAGACTTGGCCATTTTCATTTTCAGGAACCAATGTAGAAGAATATATGTAGGCATCCAGATGTGGAAGTGCATATGATCTGTATGACAAGTAAATGTAAGAAGAAGACAGTGGGAGGGAAGCTAGCTTGAAAATAAACACTCAGATCTACATTTATTTGTCTAAATTAAATGTAATCTAACTGAGATTTTAAGTACATTTATGTACATTTCCTATGTAAGTGAATCCAGGATATGAGCACACCTTTCCTCACTTCACTTAGAGGAGATGCAATTGCCGTGGGAAAGAACAGATAAAGGATTAGTTCTGCCATGCTAATTAATTGGCCAGTATAGTTCAAAGCTGTGTGTGGCATTGTCATCTGCTGCTGTTTAAGACCAGCAGGAAAGTAAAAGTCCTAGAGAAACTTTCAGATTGTTTTCTGAAGCATAGTATTGGCAAGGTCTGTGCTGATTATGCTCCAGCCTATTTCCTTGCCTGGAGAATTGCTTTATCCAGTGAAAACTTCCTTTTTGAATATTTGGAAGAAAAATTCAAGGTATTCAGCAGTATCTGACATTAACAAGCCATGTCAGTTTGAATATAACATCTTTCCTCCTTTTACTAAAATGCTCCTAGTGAGGCTTTTTCATTCAGTTCTGTTGAGTAAGACTGGCTTTTTTTTCTATCAGCTATAAATTAGAAGAGTTCACAGTGACAAAACTACTACTTGTTTGTCAAAACCAGTATCATAAAAGTAATTTCAAGCTATATTTGTTTATCCCAATGATTTTGTCTGCTATAGCAAATGTAATGCAGAACTACACCTAATTATCAGCACTCATAATGTGAGACAATTCTAAACCAATAAACACATTTTTGTCTACTGTGTTATGAAACCAGATTCTCATCACAGTTGGCAGCTCTACTTAGAACTAAGATATCAGGATAAACAAATTCCCTTTACAAGAAAAATAAGTAGTTATAATAATAAAAAAATACACATGGAGAAATAAAAGAGTATCTGAATTGAAACCCATGGAGAAGATTTTAACTGCAAGCAGGCAATGCAGATGTACACACTAAGGTTTAATTCTCCTGCTGGAAACCATCTGGTGTATCTCATCCATTTAAATGATCTACATAATTCAGTACAAGACTTGTTAATGGGTCCAATACTTCCCCATGTCTGACAGTTCTTCTATCTTGAGATCAATTTATCTACATTGTCAAAATAATCATAAGTACCTTAACTAATGAAAATGTATATTTTTATACCTAGTTCATGACATTTTTATATCCTGGATCTGCTCATACCTTATAGCAATCTTTTTTTCCTGGCTTTTGACTTAGAACCTTTTGTTTCTGAGGCATCCAAAGCAAATATCATGAACTGTTCTGCTTTTTCTACTGCTTTAATATCAACTGTGCATAAATTAAAAATTTATTCACAGCAAGGGTTGTCAAACAGGCTGCCCAGGGAAGTGGTTGAATCACTGTCCCTGGAGATATTTAAAAGATGTGCAGATGCGGCACGTTGAGACATGGTTGTGGTGTGGTGGGGACTGGTCTCTTCTCCCAGGTAGCAAGTGACAGGATGAGAGGAAGTGGCCTCAAGTTGCACTAGGGGAGGAACTTTGTATGCTTTGTAGATTCATATATGCTCATACTGACTGTTAATATTTGCTGTTTAAATAACACAGGATAAATAACGTGGTATGGACTCTTTCTGTGTAGAAAACATTCTGTCCCCAGGCCTCAGCTGGGGAATTCAGCAGAGCTTTGTTGTAGTTTCTGGATTCAGTTCCTGCAGAGAAGCAGTGCCAGCATACAACAGAAACAGACAGAAACATTAGGTAGAGCTAGTCAGAAATCTTACTTCGAAACAAAACATAGATAGAAGATTCATTGGATGTAGGATGTCAAATTTTAATTTCTCATTTGAGAAACACTGGCAAATGCAATGCACAGGGGATTGATCAGAACAGGCTAGAGGTCCCATGGATTTCAAGATGCAAATCTCAGGGAAAATACATCCAACAGATGTACTTTGGACAAAGTTTTCCATGGCCTAGAGATACCGCAGCCTTGAAGCAGGAAAATGTCTGTCTTCTGGATCATGTCCACCATTTACCATGCTATACAGATATCCATGGCTGTAGCAGGACTGGAGTCATGCTAGAGATTTTAGCATACTTTCTATGGAAGATAGTACCTGAAAGCTTTACAGCCTTGGTTCTGAACACTTCAGGGATAGTAAAGAGTGCTTAACTTCCAATTTCTCCTTTGGTGTCTCTTGAAAATCATTGAATCTGATGGAAATTACAGTTGCTTGCTTCTGTCTTTGGAGCTGGGACTCTGGTGCTGGATGTTCTGGGAGAGGCTCACACACTATACCCCAATACTGCACAGTAAGGGAGGCTCAGAGACACATATGAAGACTACTTGGTGCAAGTTCAATGAAATTATTGGTTTTGTTTTTTTGCTGAAGCTTCAGTCTTCCATGGAGTATAATTTCATTCAGAAAGGGAAGGTTTCTAATCCTGGAAAATACTTCCAGTCTCATGTGATTTGGGGCTGAATGACATTTTTAAAGAAAGGGAGAATGCCAAAAGCAGGCAACCCACTTTGCACTTATCTATCACCACTATTTCATGACTGTCAAATGTATGCTCTTCTGGAAAGGAGATTGAAAAATGTTCAAATATAAAACTGGAAGAAGACATTATTATTAGCTTATTTCTGACTACTATTTTGGGTTGCTCTGTTGCTGTTTTGTTTTAGTAATTTAATTTGCTTGTTTATGAACCATGTGCATGAGCTCTCTGTCACTGATTAAGAATATTAGCTCAGGGCGCTAGTAAAACAAAACAAAACAAATCAAAAAACCAAACTGAACCAGATAAAAAATTAAACATTATTCAGTTTATTGTCCACATTAGATACTGCAACTTGTGGGTGTAGTGACAGAACAACCAAGTGCTGTATCAGGTCCAGAGTCAGGAGGGGGTGCGTGTGGTGGGCATCTCTTGTGTTAGGAGGCAGCACTAGCAGAGAAGGGGCGGCACAACACCTAAGCCTGGTGCTTAGGCCCCGAGTTCAAGCTTTGCTTTTATGATTCCCAAGACAGGCAGTACTGCTGAGACAGTGTCTTTCGCTCAGGCAAAGTGCACAAGAGAAGGCAGTGGGAAAATGGGATGTTATTTCCACTCAGAAGTGCTTTAGCCCGTGGAAAACAGTAGAACCAGCATGTAATACTGCTATTGTAGTGTATTTTTTACACATCAGAGAACTGAAGTCTGGAGTGAAAGCTATCAGGCTTGGTTAAAAACACTTCTCTTATAGTAGCAAAAGGGCTTTTCCTGCTTTCTTAGTCTTATTGGACTGTAGAGCAAGGGAGTTTTAATAAAAATAATGTTCTAGACTACAAAATGCACAGATGTGGGTATGTTTGTGTTGTATTTGATAATTGCTTTGCAAAGCAGTAACTTCATGCTCAGTAACTCTTCTTCATAATTAATGCTTTTGCACTGTCCTGCGTCAGAGGTTATGGGTTTGAAAAGCTCAAATTGGCACAGCCTTCCCTATTCTGGTGCTGCTGCTATGGATGTACCTCTCCAGTGCCAGGCTTTTACTTCTCTCTGAGTTATTCCTGATATGCTACCACTAAGGCTTGCTGTGTTGAGGAGGGCTCCGCCAGCTGCTGCTGCTGAGCTGTGGGTTGGCTTCAATGCTCCCATTATGGCTTGCTGTCCAGCTCTGTCCATGTGTTGAAACCAGTAAGCCAAATAGCTCCAGGTGTAAGGGAAAGAAGAGCTCTTGCAGCATGGAATTGGCACAGCCAGTGTCCTCAGGTTGCAGAGGTGACAAAGAAAAGCACTGGGGAGAGAAAAACTGTGCTATATTCTGTGTAGCACTGCTGAAGGTGGCATGATGGCTGAAGCACGCCTGACTAAATTGAATCTCTGGAAAAGGTTTCAGTAGATTCAGAGCTGGTGATGAGATGAAACCTGAGTGAGCCTTTATGAGTGACTCATCTGTGGATCAGCAGCTCACTACAAAGGAAATTTCACACTTAGCCGTCTCTTCTTTTGCCTGCATTTGCATCGTATTTTATTTCAGATAATGCACTGCAAATAGTATTCCTCACTGAATTGTTCCAGCCTATCACAGTAAACCATAGCTACTGAGACAAACATGGGATGCTGCTTTTTTTGTGTATAACCAATTTTCATACACATACTAGTTTGGGATTGAAAACTCTCTTTTGAAAGCCTTGACCCTGCTTCGTATACGAGGGCAAGTTCTAGGATCAAGGAAGAAATTAATTTTTACTTTTCATAAACAATTTCTTCTGATATTATATGTATGCCTAAATTAAAGTCCTCTGATTGTAGAAAAATTGTCAGAATGGAATAGGTGGTCTCTAAAAATGTTTCCTTTGAAAATTAATCACCATTGTTATGAATCAAATCCATTTTTCCTGTTTGTGTTGGCAGATTGGGGCTTCATTTGTAGATCTCAAAACTTTCAGTTTTGCTACATAAGTTGTTTCTTTTAAATAAGGCTCAGATACAGCCTAATTTGTGGCTGAATCAGCGTGAGAGAGATTTAAGGCAATCCTGTTCTCATTTGTTCACTCGTGTGGTAGAGGCTCCTTGTATAATCAGATGGTGAGCATGTGTTTTGGGCATTGCTCCTTCTGGGCCAATCCCCAGAGCTTATGTGGTTATATGTTAAAGTCCCCTGCTGAAAACACTGCTTTTTGGATCCAGCTGTGGCAATTCACGTTTTCAGTTTGGTGGGACCAAGAGTTCATCCCCAGAGTATCAATCAGGAGGGTAACTATCACACAAGCCCATTCAAGCTTCAAACCCCCGGTGGCTG